AAATACATATACACTCTTACCTTTGTCAGTTTATTATTATTTTATCACCTATCTAGTAAATAATATCTGAAGTTTACTGACAAAGATTCACCCAGATCATCTTACCATATATATAAATTAAATCAACTAATTTCAGTATTTTTTTTTAACAAACTCAAGGGTGCTGACCTTACCAAGGAGAAACTTAGTAGAACAAGGGGACTTCTGATTGCAGTTCGTGCAACAGGTATTTGTTGTGGTTCATCTGAAATTACATCCACTCTAAATCACTCTTTTTCCCTGCAATCTGATTGGTTCTCAGCTGTGCAATTTTTATCATGAATCATTGTACAACCAAGTAAATATAACAGTAACAGGAAACAGTATACAGTGTACTGTTCCCTAATTACTGCAGAAAAGTGCTTCCAGCTTAGAGTACTGAAAAGCCCTCCAAAATACCACAGACCTCCTGTCCTGTGCTGTGCTCTGGTGAAATGCTTGTACATCATTCTGTTATAATTATATCTCCATCATAAGCATCACATGTCTGGTACTGTAGGCAATGAATTGTCAATTTTGAATTTTACCGTCCTATAGATACACCTGCTGAGCGAAGCAGTCCCAAAGTTTATGATCATACATACATCAGAGTTGAAAGAGATGAAGCTGACGACAAGTAAGTCTTGGGTGAATTGGAAATTTGCACATTATAATGATAGTGCTTGTACTGTTGCAAACAGCAGTTTCAGATAATATTTACACTGAGCTCACAGAGAATAGGAATACACAGGTCTAAAAAAGTTCTGATGTACATTTATCCAAAACACTGTTACAGCAGCATTTTAAAATGGTGTTTAAAAAACATTTAGTGATGAAAGTGAGCTAGTTGTGTGCAATGGCAGGGACATAGATTAACTCTAAAATCGAAACCTCTAACCCTTAGGAGTGACTGGCTTTTAATTTCTCTTTACAGCTCATTATCAAATAAAACATCAAAGTAAAGAGCATAGAGGGAGAGAACCCTGAGTAAAAAAGCTCTAGACAGTCAAACAAATTCTCGTTGTCAGTAACATGGACATGTATAATAAGACCGTGTGAAGAATACACAATTATAATTACTGATGCAAGGGCCTACTAACACTTTATGATTACTAGTAACTGCCATGAGTGACCAAGACAGAATTTTCTCCTCACAATATCAATACAAAATCAAGCAGACAAGTGATGAGAATAAAGAAAAATATCAATTAGGGGATTATGAGTTGATCCGATACCAAATTCTCCAAGCCAAATTCCCAAGAATTGTATGGCAGAGAGTTAGGAGAATTACTTAATAAATACGATCTTGGAAGGAAGGGTTACCGCCAGCACCAAGCAGTGATGATTAAAAGACTTCTGGGTAATCTAGAGCTGTCTGGTTACAAGGTAACAGAGGGGTGACTTCTAATTTAGTTCTAAACAATTTCTAATTTTTTTAAGACTTCAGAAAAATGGTAGCAGACACGCAAACGAAACAAATACTGCGAATGAACAAGTTGAATCTCTAACGGAAAGAGCGAGAGATGTCATCAAGAAAACAACTCCCAAGAAAGACGAGAAAGAGAAAGACTTTAAACAGAAAAGGAGAGAAATAATTAAACAGCAAAGACATGAAAAGGAAATTGAACAAAGAGAGGAAAAACTGGGTGTGAGACCTGAAGGTTGTTTAAGATCTGTTTGTAACTCTACAATAATTACAGCCTTAAGGTTTTTCAAAATGATTTCAAGAAAAGATCAGCTAAATATGAAAAGGGGATTGAAGTTAAGGAAAAATAAAGTGAAAAAGTAGAATCCAAAGTGAACAGCTATAAATCCCAAAGTTGGCAGTATAATCAACTGCTAAGTACCTTCATTTATTGAGAACCCTGGAGCCTTATTAGTTCCAAGCAGGAAGGCATTTGTTTATGTAGAAAATACACTCATCTGAAGTTTCTTTTTTTTTTTTTTGTCGAAAATTGTAATAAAAAATTAGGGCTTTTAATGATGCATTTAGACCCATAAATTCAAAACTTTTGAAGACTTGAATAGGCATTTCACTTATGGAAGAGCTTTCAACTTTAAGTTACAGTCAAAGACTGATTGTGATAAGTTGATCTGCCTTCATGTGACGTACTTGTTGTGGACATGTTGCCACTAGCTTCCTCCATGTGAGTAAGGCTGAAATGTTACCTTACTGGTATGTCCCAATTACTCTATAAGACAAGACGGGTTGCCCTCGGTGTCTCTGAAGTATCTAATAATCACCAGCAAAATAATCATGATGACAAATCTTTAATAAGAATTCATTTGAAGACAAAATTTAGAGTACAGTTACTGTACTTTAGCTTGATTTAATGATGTTTTGTTATTTCATTGTTGTTGTAGAAATTTTGTGGACTGGATTTCGCAGCATAATGGATAGATTTGCAAACTGCTATGAAATAAGTGGCAGAATTCTGTCTTACTGTCATCCAATTGAGAAAATTGGCCAGGTATGTGCAATAGATGATTTTAATTACAAGTAAAATTCTAACATCTAGTTTGTTTAAATTGATAATATTATCCATAGCATGCATGTAACTGTGCTTTTAAAATTAATGATCTTCTGCTCCCTGTTGATGTATTTTCCTGGAATTTTACGTGTGTTCCCTAAAAATTTGACCCCATGCATGGCCTCTAAGAGTGACCAGCATCTAATTTCTCCTTACAATATCACCCCTGGATCACCCATTTAGGTCATGAGAATAAAGGAAATGATCACCAACTGAAGAAGTTCTTGATTGTTCAACAAATTCTCCTTGTAAGCACCTTAGGAAATGTATAGAGAACAGTATGGAGAATATGCATACTGTTGTTAGGGTGTAAAGGGTTGAGGAAGGTATTCCCGTCATTTAACCTTGTATGAAAAAGTAATGGTTGTCTTCCATTGATTTGACAGATTGTTGGGTTCGCAGAAAGATGTATAAAGAATGCTGGAAGAAAATTTTTGGATGGCAATGATGATAAGAAAAAGAAATGACAAATAATAAGTAGTTAATTTTGTGTCTAGCAGAACATTTCAGGGACATATACAGTGCAAAATAAGGAGAAGTCACCACTGCAGTGCCTTGAGTTTTTTGTGCAGCACTCTCTCAGCCTTGTTAGGGATGTACAAATGTCTTTTAGCTTGTCTACAGACCTGCCTTGGGTATTTTGGGCTTTTATTTATTAGATGCCAAGAGAAGAAATTGCAAATTATTATCTACTAAAAAAGGAAATTTGACCTGATGAAGATTCTTTGAATTTGAGTGTTTTAGCAAACCTGAATTTGAAGGTTTGTGTGGGCATGTACCAAGAACCCCCCCCTAGCTAAGCCATTCCTCTCTTTTCTGGTGTATCAAATAACTCAGGTTCTTGAGTTTTTGTTTTCTCCTTCAGCCATAACTAATGGCTGTGAACAGAATATGCCATTCAGAACTTGGTGTGTGAAGCTTGGGATTGATAATGTTAATTCTTTTGACAACACATTTATCATTGATGTAACTTGACCATTTTGCATAGATAAATTCAAGTGAAAGTCAGAACACTCTTAGCACCAGAATGTTATTGATCTGATTAGAAATCAGACAACTAAACAACAGACAGGTTGAAGTGCTTTGAATTTTGCTATTAGCGGTAATGAGGCCAGGTTTTAACCATGTAACTTCTGGTTAAGTGTATCAAGTAGGTGGGAAAAGTTAAACATAAAATTGAAACAAAGAAACAAATATTAAATAAATGTTTTATTAATCACATGATGTTAAATTTTCTGTGGTCATCTCTTAAACTCTCCCCAGTCCCTGTCTTCAGTGACCTCATGTAGGTATTAATTTCACATGTGGAGTGAAAGATAGCCATTTGAAAATAGCACAGTTAAAGCCAATCAAATTGGTTGTGCCAATAGGCTTCAGTAAGTGGGCCACATATTTTCTGTTTCACTTGCATGATGTACATATAAAGAATATAAGGGAGAGAAAAAGAAAAAAAAAAATTCACACTTCACCACAGATTATGTCCCCAAATTAATGGCCCCAGATCCCCCCTATAAAAAACTCACACCTCCAGCACTTAATTTCAAGCCCCTTCCCCACTAACTGAAAACAGGATTTGCCATCCACATATCTTTTTCTCATTTATTTCCTTCACATTCTCTTTAATTTACTTTCTCTGTCCTCTTCAATTTTGCCATCTCCTTCACCTGCTTTTTTAATTTCTTTCTCACATTACAGTTACAGTTAAGATTAATTCTAGGGTGGGATCACAAAAGGATCCTGCCAGGTCATCCTACTGGAATCTCCTCGAAATGAGATAGTATCTGTTGCTGCTAGCACAGCTCTCAAATGATCCCTGGATCACAAGGGGATCCCTTATTTAACTACATGAGATCATGATGAAACTCTGTCTGGGACGAAACCAGGGGTACACAGGAATTGTGTTGCTCAATCGGCATAGAAGCTCCCCATGAACCTACCACAATTACAGTTCTCTTTTAGGGGAATGCAAAAGTGTTACAGCACTATTCAGTGGACTCTTCTACCACTTCACTTTGGGCTTCCTTTAAATTTTGCTTGGACAGAAACCCTCCTTGGATAACACTGGTACCAGATTGAGTACCCCTTGGAACTACTGGGTGTATTATTCTGACATCAAATGACTTTACACAGTTACAAAATTACGACTTTCACTCATGATAACAAGAAACCTTTGATAACTTTTATTCAATTCTTTAAAGGAAACCTACTAACTTCATTCTTACTAGTAAAAAAGTTCAAACCTTATCTTTAAAGTAGAACTCTCCAACACAAAAATCCTTGCAGATAAAACTGAGACAGCTTGACTAACTGGTAACTACATTTAATATCTGATTCACAAGAGGCCCTTTGCATTTGCAAATAACTGAAATTATGCCAGTTGATTTTTCAATGAGTGTTGAAAGTAATTGAAGATTACCTTAGTTCTTAAGATAAGTGTAGACAATTCTTATCAACACTCATCTCAACAACCAGATGCAGAACTTATAAAACCAATCTAGATTTGTCACTCACATTTTCCAACACCTCAGGCAGTTTGTTCATTTTTTACCTTGGATTCTCATTGCCTTCCTATGATATCTTTCTTGGTTATAAATGGTTGCTGTGATAACTCAATCACCACACAACCAAAAATTATTTACCCTCGACACCTTATGTCAAACCAGTATGCATATTCTGGCTCCTCTGTCTGTCTCCGTTACTTTTCTCCATACCTATCCTAAGATAGGAGAGCTTCTTTACTTGGTGATCATTCCCTAAATTCTCTTGACCTTCATGTATGATTCAGTGGTGATAATTGTAAGGAGAAATTAGATGCTAGTCACTCTTTAAGGTTTAAAAAGTTAGAGGTGCCCAGATAAAAGATTCAGGTTACATCCTATGATTCTTGAGACTTCCCTATTATCTTTTACGAAGAGCTAACAGTTCTGTTTTTAAATACCTAAACTATTTCCTAGAAGGTTATCAACTAAACTTTGTATAGCTGCCAAACACTGACAAGAAGAAAACTTGTCTATTAATCATATGCCTGCAGAAAACTGAGGGAAACGTTTTTGGCATGTTACTACCAGCAGAGGCAAGCATGTGACAAACACCAGGGGCAAATCACTCATGATCAAAAGAGGAACACGAAGAGAGTGCATGACGAGCACCTCATGCTTGTCTCATGCTTGGCTCTGTTAGCCTAATAAACAAAAAAAAAAAAAGGAAGAAAAATAAAAAGGTCGACATTGTCAAGAAATAATGAGGCATGCTCTCTATGTAAACAGTAATATTCTGCTAGAATTATCTATACCTGTGTTTACAGTACCAACATGTAGTATTCGTCCTATACTACTGGTAATTTGTCAACAATTAACTGTACTTTTATCATTAAAAAAAAAAAAAAAAACATATAAGCTAATTTTTCCTTTGGATAGCAGATCCAACTAAAAAACAAGAATACCTCTCCCTCTCTCTGTCATTTTCCATGATGGATTGTTATATCCAAATGGCGAAAGGTGTGGATTATCACCACAGTTTTGAAAAACTCAGTACATTTAGATGTACTCACAAAGCTATATGGATTCTTAAGAAAAGTTTCTACATTGGGAGCATGGTGTCATCTCTATCGTCATCCGCTAAGGCATCATCCATTGCCTAAGAGAAAAAAAAAATTAAATTTATCAGTAATTAAATCAAAGGTCACATAAAATCAGACACGTGATCCTTAGGACCCATGGTCATCTTATGAGCATAGTGCCCCATCTGGCCGGAGCTTGTGCCACATTCCTTGGCAAAGAGTACATTTCAATCACCTGTTGTATGACCAACACCAAAGTAATCACATCAGCCAATCAAAACAAAGGAAAATAAACAACATAATGGCCCAATGCACAGGAAATTGCCACCAATTAAGTTGTGATTGGTTTTCCATCTGATTGGTTGAGAGGATGGCAGGAATTTTAGACAATCACAGACTATGGACAAGTTTATCCCCCTTAAAAAGATTACTTGCTGCACTTCAATTTTAAATATGACCCAAAACATTGTTCACTCTTGTAAAGTAATAGGAAACAGGCTGTGGTAGGGTGCCTCCCACCCAACTTTTTCCTTCCTCCCAACACAACATTACTACTGGAGAGTTCCATTTCCTACTCAGCTCAAAGACACCCAGATAGAACTACTAACAGTTCCTAGCGTTCATGAAGGCCCTCGTCTTTAGTGCGGCAAGACACGTGTTTCTCTGACTGCGTCAATGTTTGAGACGAGTCAGGGAAAGGTTTGCTGGGAGTGTGGCATTATCAGTGCTAGATCCCTCACTGGCCTTCCCGAGGGCAAAAAGTGCTAATGTAATGATGGCCAATGGCCTGCTTGTAGGCTAAAATTTACATAGTGACCTCACATACTGCTGGCACAGAGTGATGGCTCATTTTAGAATACTACAGACTATGCCTTTATGCCTTGAACCATTAAGTTCACAGCATTCTACTTTGATGGCCCACCTTGTATCTTGTAGGACGTGACTCTGAACACCGACACATATAATTACATCCGTCCTGAGAAAAAATCAAAAAATAAGTTAATTATAGCAGTACTCAGAATCAAAGTACTAAACTTAACAATAACTTGAAGTTGAAGAAGTTTGTAATTTTTTCCCTGAGCCATGTTACCATTTACAAATTATTTGCATGCAGAGGATGAAAGCTATTTGAGACACACCATCTACATAATTATTTGGATTGACTGTTTGGACATTTCTCTCAGAAAAATGCAAAAACATAACAAACAAAAAGAAAAGGAACAATTTCAGCAAAGTTTGGATGTATTTGTTACTTTGTATTCCTCTTCAAGGAAGTGTTCTGACTTACAACAACAGAAAAGTTCTCCCTTTTAAACCCTATAACCCCCAAGATCTGCTTGTTAATTCTCCCCTCTGGCTGCCACATATTTCCTTGTTAATCAGTTGCAAGACTTTGGTATTAGATCAAGGTAATAACAACTTCTGCCTGATAAGTTTAAGTATTCTCACTTCCTGTTTGCTGGATAATGTATAGAAATCAAAGGGAGAAGTTGCATGTTTAACTTAGTGATTAATCTAATCACTTCTCGAAGTTAACGTTGAGTTAAATTTATTTGGCATTCTAAACATAACTCCACACAAAATATCTTGCAAACACCAAGAAAAAAAATTCCTCACCAACTCCTAACTGTGTCTTAAAACTGTTTTGCATTAACACCATTGTACTTCCAGATAACTGACGAAAAAAAAAAAAAAAATAGAAAAGCTTACAGCTTGCAGACTTCCACAGTCCCTCCAAAAGTTGTAGTGAGGTATCTGCTCCATTCCTTTAGCACCAACCATGAATCTCTGGTACAAGAAACCAAGGGTTATATATATCGAGCCCACAACTATCAATCTGCGATCAAAAGAAGGGCATCGTTAGTCCTCATATTTCAACAGGTTATTTAATTGCCAGGCTCAACTAAAAAAAAAAGCCTAGCAAGTTCTTGATTTTCATTATAGGTTTCATGGTTTTATTTCTTTACTTTATGTTGTTGAGATTCAGACTCAGATTACTTTCAATTGGAAAATCAGAGCAAATAGAACAACTTTGGGAAAGGAATGGTCTGGCCCTTTCTTTTGATATCTCCGCCTCACCCAAGAACAGCGAGTAATTTTTTAACACCCCAAAAATGTCTCCCTTAAAATTGTGCATTCATGTCAATCCAATTTCTTGATTTTCTCTGCTGCATGAGGGAAGCAGAACTCTGCTAACTCAAACCCCACCAACTCAAACAAGATCCCATTTCCTTTAGATTTGACCCCAACTTTCCAGTCATTTCCAATCATCCAACTCAAACTTGGTTAACTCAAACCATTTTTCATTTCCCTTGAAAGTCTGCATAAGTGGAGTTGTACAGACTATTGTACACTGTAGTTAATAAGCTACAGTGTACATGTACTTCAAAAGAAAAGTAAGCAAGCTTGGTCAAAAAGTAGGATACTCACATTATCAACATAATAGAGCCAGGACTCAAATGTTTTGGCTTTACTGTGCATGCTGCATCATTATTGAGTTCAAACAGGTAATAACACTCCAGTGGGTTTGCTGGATCATTTGGTTTACTATTATTTCTGTATTCTTCAATGATACGCATCGTTCCCTATAAAAGGACAATTATTAAATTCCATCCATCCTTGATGTAGAGGCAAACAAAACAAAGATCTTTTCTTGTAGGTAATTACAGCTGCACATCCATACAAGTTATTTATGCACAGAGAAAGCACAAAATTAATGACAAAAACTAGCACACATTTTTGTCATCTACTGGAAATTAAAGTGAATTTTTTTGAACATCCTGAGCTCATAATCCAATCTTTCCATGATGTACAGAGGAAAACAAAACATAACAATTCTTTTTTGCAAATGAACATGTTGCAAGTAATTTTTTTTCTAAGGTAAATTTAATTTTTCACTAGGTACAATTTTTTAACCTGGGTAATTTTGCACCACAATATTTTTTTCACCTGCTATGGGGTAACTAGCTCTTTTTTTTTTTTTATTGATAACAATAATATAGATATTGGGTTTTGTCAAGATAAAATTTTTAACTACAACAAACATATGTTAATTTTGTGTAGGGGAAGCACAAGATGGGCTCATCTTGCCAAACCAGGTTGCCAATCTGAACACAGGATTCACTCCATCTTGCCCACAGGTACTGCCACTCACATGCTATGTAATAAGTATCCATAACTGACCAAGAGCTACGAGCTACAAAAAGTAATTTTTCACTGTTTTCTTACCCTCTCTACTCCTGGATCACATGTTATTACCACAATGCCAATTCTTTCTAACTTATTGCAGTGGGAGGTATACTTTGCTCCATGGAAATATTTTATCATCAGCCAGTCCGCTGAAATATTAAATTACATATTATTTTAGTAATTAAAAGTTTCAGTTAAATTATGATAGAAATTTTAACCTAAATCTACAAAATATTTTGAACTAACACAATGTACAGTGGCTATTTAGGAAAGTACAGTTACTGTACAAGCCACAACCCAAATTTAGCAGCTTAAATTTTGGAGAAAAAGTTTTTTGATAGAAATCAAAAGAGATCCAAAGTCGAGTCTTAAAAAGTCTTCTTCATCCACTGTTCATCAAACATAACCTCATCATTAACATTGAAATGGAAAACACTTCAAAGTGTTACCCACAATTATAGCACTTTAATAAAAATTATTATGATGAACATCGTTTCTACCAACTTTGACATAAGATTGGTCTTTTTCTGGTATTTGTTGACAGGAATTTCTTTATTCAACACAGTTTTTCCAGAGATTTTTGCATTAAAAAACAAGAACGTGAGCTGAACATTTGAAGCTTAGTAACCAGGCATTAGATCGGGTGCAAAATGGACATTCACGACACTTTTTCAAATGTTCCCGCAGATAAGCAGCACTCCCAATTTTTAGCGACGATTTTTGGAAAAAAAGTTCAACTTATCCGTGTGCTTTTATGGTAACTGTATACCTTAATTTTACTGCTTAAGTTTCAAAAGTATACAGTTGCATAGGGAGTCAATTCTGACCAACCAGCCTGAAAGCCTGGAAAATCCCACATGATTGGAGATTTCACTCTTTCCCAACCATCTCAGATTTGAAATTGTAGAACTTCCTGACTGTTTAGGATGGTCAGTGCCAAACCTACTAACAATACCCCCCTGTCACTAATGGGGTGCAGATGAACCTAGAAAAAAGATGACTGTCAATCTCCCCAGTATATCTGCAAACTCTGGGAGGGTCAAGAAACAGTGATTTGCTTGTGTCTGGGATTTTCCTGATATATAAAAATCAGGCTCAAGGCAGACTACTCCGTTATCACTACAGGAAAAGTCATGCAGAGGAACACAGAGCTAAGTTCTCATGGCTGGTGATTTTTGTCCTATGAGCAAAAGGTAACCATTGACAAAATCATGGTAAATGATCTCTCAGTCTATATAAACATATATATATATTGTGGGAGGAAAAAGACAAGTAAACTACAAGTTCATCCCTACAAGCTTGTTTCGTGGTCGCCCACTCATCAGGGGATTTAATGAGAATAAACTTTACCATTGCTTATAGACAATATAATTTGCATGATCTAACTAGTCTAATTTATGCAGCACGAAATTGACAGTTTAGTTGTTGCGTAGGAGGGCTTTGCTTCTGTGGCGGCAAGAAGACGCGAGTTCATTATGTTTGTTTAGTGTTGATAGTTCGGGCCGGCAGATGATTAGGAATTTTTCTTTGAGGCAGAGGTTACATCTTTTGCTTGAGCTGTTGTACGGTGAGTGCGATGAGAGAATGCGCCAGGAAATAAAGTGATC